TCAAAAATTACAAGATCCGAAAGTTCATGAAGGCTGAGTTCATCCAGTACACCTTGACCAGGAGGGAGCACGACTACATCCGCACCCAGGCTGATTTTCCGTGTATGAACCCAGAAGAAGTGTTTCTCATTGCCAAGGTCTTTCAGCACAAGTCTGAGAAGCATCCGAAGATGAATATCGCACTTGAAAGGGCCAATACATTTCTTAAGGAAACAGTCTGTGACTTCGCCAAAATAGATGCAGACATCCATCCCATCATTTCCAAGTTTGCTGACTTGCCACCACTTGACCCCGCACCTATGCCTACCGAAGGCTATGAGGAAAGATCATTAGGAGCAACCAATTATCCTGAGCTAGGAGTCATTTTCAAGAGGAAGACTGACAACGTCAAATATTTCATTCCTATGACTGCCATGCACCGTCTCACCAGAAAACAACTTGAGATCTGCCGCAACGCAGTTGAAAAATCCAAGCATACCACCGCAGAGGTCAAGTTTGAAATACTAAGAAGAATCAACTGGTTAGAGAACGTCAGGAAGTTTTGGTGGATCCTGATCAAGTTCCTTAAACTTGATAACTAATCAAAGTTAAAGAGGTCACTTAGGGGGAAATTGTTGAATAAAAAAAAAGTGACCCTCTTGAACTTCAGCTACCGCAGCCTCCAAGCAACCGCAGTCAAGCAATCTTATCATCTCTCCATCCGAAGTCTTCAACACCGCAGACCTTATCTTTAGTTAGTTTATTTTGTCTTATCTGTAAAACACTCTAATGTCCAGTATGCCTTGCATGGCTACTGTTAGAGTTGTAAACTTGTCTCTATAAATAGAGTTCATTTCTCATGTAATCTGTACCGGTGTGAATCTCTCATCAAATTCTAATACACATCAGTTCTCATTCTATCTTACTTATCAAACCTTCTTACTCTCATAATCAATTACCATCTCTTTTAAAAGAGCAAGTCACCTGTGACTTAATCACTAAGCTAGATCTCATTTACTAACTTGGTTTGAATGCATTCCTTGTTATGAATCTGCTTTTGTGTATACTTGATATAACAATTGTTGTCATTTACATTCCTTACTTTTCCGCATCTAACTCACTAACTTCTAACACTTAATATTATTGTTGAGCTAACAGATCCTTCGAGATTAACTATTCCGCTATATACTTGTTCTAACGATTTGTTCAAGTGTGTCTCAAAGTTTTTCTCTCAACAGATGCCTTGGTAGAAGGCTACTTTTAATAGAAAATATAGGATTTTCTAAGAGTTACAAACAATTACTACAAACATTTTTACAAACTTACACACTCAAACACTTACAAACATTTTCATGCAAACAATGACACTAAAATGCTTATGAACTCACCAGCTTTAAAAGCTGATAAACTCTTTCAAAAATAACTTGCATTCTCAGGTCATCAGTAGACAGGTACCGATGCTAGCTTTTGAGAAGATGGAGCATATTTCAAGACTCATCTTTTATTTTGATTCATATTTTTGGTGTCTTATAAACTGTACAGAACACACTTGTATTAAAATACATTATTAATGCAATGGATGATGTTGTTTGCTTGTTTACTATATTTCTATGTTGTGATACTGTACATGAAGTCCTTCGCCCCAGAACGTTTCCGCTGTTCCGGTTTTGGGGTGTGACAGTGCCTTCGACCTACGGGTACAGTGAGGTGAAACTCACCTCGATAGGCGTGTAGATAACCATTGTATAAATGAAGGACTCTACCATCTTCAACTCACTTCTAATCACCACGCATCTACCCTTTAGTCTTGGAGGAGAACGAAGGCGGAGGGACGACGCAATCCAAGCCCCGTACCGGTGGCGACAAAACAACAGGAAGAAAGGAATGGAGAAGGGAGATGTGCACGACCTCTAACCGGAACAACAACAACAACGGTCCTCAACTTCACTCCTCCGGTCTCCGATGGACGCGATGTCGTCTTACGGGTTTCGTTTGCGTCGACAACGGGTGTAGCGACGACTTCCGGCTTCAACAATGGAGGGCGGCGGCTGGAGGATAAGGGGTGATAAGATGGCGGCTGAAAAAGTTGAAGTAGGGTTAGGGTTTGAATGAGAGGAGGTGACGGGTTTATGCCAATCCATTTTCAAACTTAAACCATTTTCACACTTTCAATCCCTCCCTGACAATTCTTTTGCAATTCGAGTCCAAAAGTTACTCTATAGGCCCCTGACTCCAAAAATCCTTACAACACATGTCCGAAAGTTACACTTTAACCCCCCATTGACCAAAAATACTACTTTTAACTTCTTGATTTTTATAGTTTATTATGTTTAACTCCTCGCACAAATACTCTAATAATTTATTGCAAATTAGGGCCAATATAAAATATAAAAATATAATATATATATATATATATATTATATATATATATATATATATATATAAATAAATAATATAAAAATACATCTTGGGGTTTTAGGGTTTACTATCTATTTATTTTATTTATTTAATTTTTATTTATAAATTTAATTTTATTTAATTTTATTGGTTTTAAACAGAATGTTACACAAACCCCTTTTATGGACCTTCAACCAAGATCCAATAAACCTCTTTAGTCCAAAATAACACTCTGATGGCCTAACACGGCCCTAATCATCCATAGTCCAATCACGACCCAACACCGTGAGTCGAAACCTGCCGAAGCTCAACTGCTGAGTGCGTGGGGCGTACTCAGCTCGTATACTAAGTGTACTCGCATAGAGGCTTGTACGCGCGACATACCAGCTTGTACGCCCAACGTACTCCTCAACTTTACCAACCTTCCTTATGCAACACTTAATTGGTTAAGACTTCTACCCAAAACCTAGATCTGACTTCTCTAAGATGGTTTATCACATAAAATTGCCAACTTTATGTCCATGCATGGCTTAATGGGGCTTTATAGCTCAGAATAACTTAACCAAGGGTCTTAACAGATGCATGAGTCCATAAACACCTTAATGAGGAAGACATGTGGACAGGGGAGTATGCCGAGCGTACGAGCTGAGTACGCTCTGCGCACTCAACGAGGGTTTTTTGGGTTTGGCCATTTTCGGTATTGGGCCATAGTGTGGATTTGAAAGTTTGGGCCTAGTTCGGCCATTAGACCTTTGTTTTGGGCTTAGGGCTAGCATAATGGGCTTTCATGGATTTTAGGCCCATGATGGGTATTGGGCCCAATTTGGAAGATTGGGCCATAAATTGGGCTTTAGGATTTAGGCCTTTTAAATAGCTGAGTTGGGCCTTGGCTTTGGGCTAAGTTAGATAAAGGGTAAAATGGTCTTATACCCTGGTGATGGGCCAAATAGCTTAGACTTTTTGGTTATAGGTCAGAATCCAATTAATAGCTGGATGTTATTGATTTTGATAGCGCGGGGATTTTCCAAGCCAACAGGCAGAGATTCAGTTGAGTGATTCAGCAACTACAAGTGAGTTTCCTCACTGTGTTTAGTGGGTCGAAGGCACCAATGTCAGCCCATGATTTTTTATATTAGGGTGCTAGATGGCTGCGTGACTTTTGCATGTGTTATGTGCTTGTATGTTTACCAGGCAAAGCCTGATGCCTTGCGGGGCCTAATGACTATCCTATATGCTATAATCTTTGTGATTATCGGATGTGTAGTATGATTATATGTTTATACGTTTATATATATATATCGGGCGGGGCCCGATGCCAGGCGAGGCCTGATAACTGACAAATCTATATACCGAGTGGGGCCCATTATGTGTTTATTACAGTGTTGTAAAAATCGGACTACTCGGCCGAGTACTCGGAATCGGGCCTCCACTGAGGCGAGTAGTGTAAACTCGGGGAAAAAAATCGGGTTCAGTCAAACTCGGTCAACCTCGCTCCAACTCGGTCCTACTCGGTCAAGAAAGTCAAAATCGGTCATCAAGTTCAAACTCGGTCAACGAGGGCAAAAATTGACAACCCGATAAAACTTATTTTTGACTTTTAAAAAAATAACCCTAAAAGCTAAAAAACAAAGCGGCATTCCCAAATTTGGTTCCCCCTAATCTTTTCTACGAGAGTTCGACTCCTGCTAGGCTGCAACTCTCTCTCGTCTTTCTCTCTACTGGCGATTGGCGAATAGCGATACCAGCAAATTGCGATACAAACAAATCGCAATGTTGTGTTCCTGAGTCGTGATTGTCCACTGGCGAAAGCGAGATCCTCCACTAGCGATCGAGGTTCTTCCTCTTCTACTCTTCCTGTATCTCCTCACTGTGTCGATTTTGGATTTCTTCTTCAATAACTCGGTTTTTTTTTTTTTTTTTTTTTTTTTTTTTTTGTATTTGAGTTTGTATAACCGTATATATTTCATATATGAGGATTTACAAAGGTGATTGCTCGATTTTAGATTTCTTCATCAAGAGCTCGGTTTTTTTTCAGTCCCTGACTTCCTGTTTCTCGTTTTTCCCTTAAATTGTCGGCTGGTGTGTATTAGTGTATGTATTTCGTGATTGCTTTACTGGTGTGGTGTGTATGTATCTAGTATTTGGTGTATTTGATTTCTCTACTAGAGACTGAGGTTACTACAAAAAGGTTTATGATCTTAATTTTTTGTATCAGTTTCACAGTTTGGTGTATTTGATTTCTCTACTTTGTCCCTGTTTCTCATCTTTTGTATTTGAGTTCTCTGCCAGTGGCAGTGGATATGTATTTTATAATTTAGATTTCTAGTATCAGTTTCCAAACTGTATCCATGTATGTATTTTTTTTTCCTGTTTTCTATGTAATAGACTAATAGTATATATGTTATTCTGTTTTATCACTTTATGTGACAATAACAATATGATATTATTCTTTTGAATGGGCTTGTAAATTGTAATTGTTTATTTCTAAATTGTATGTATTTCAGAATTCGGATTTCCAGTGTCAATTCACAGTTTGTATGTATTTTTTTCCTGTTTTCTGAAACAATGTGTGTGTTTTAGACTCACTAACTCACTTTGTGTTAGATAGATTTCTAACTGAAGTAATGACATCAACCACAACAACTCCGTCTACGGGATCAACTGCAGCTCAAGAGAATCTTAAACGCAAATCAAATGATCCTGGATGGGAATATGCAGTGTGTGTGAATCCTAAGAAATTGGAGCGAGTGAAATGCATTTTATGTAATAAAGAGATGGGCGGGGGAATCAATAGACTAAAACAACATATTGCACAAATTAAGGGAAATGTTTCTTCATGCCCAAAGTCCACAAAACATGACCAAATAAAATGTAGAGATGCTCTTCTTGATAACCAAAATAAAAAGAAGGGGAAGGTAGATGAAAATGAGTCTTTAAGAGTACAAGTGAATATTAGAAGTAGTGAGAATGAAACCATTACAATCGATGATGATTTGATGGAAGATTCATTTGGCTCTAAGAAGGCTAAACGTGCTTTTGAGCCTATGGATCGGTTTCCAAACACTATCAACCCCCAAGATGTTTCAAACAAGGGAAAGAGCAAACAAGAAAATATGTCAAATGTTATTCGTAAGGAACACATGATTCGTGTGAAAGAATATATTTGTAGATGGGCCTATGAATGTGCCATTCCTTTTCATGCCTTTGAAAAGGACAGCTACAAAATTATGTTGGAGGCGGTTGGCCAATTTGGACGTGGGGCACCACCTCCAACTAGATATGAGATGGGAGAAACATATATAAAGAAAGAAGTAGAAAGAACAATAAGTTTCTTGACACCATACAAAGACGAATGAAAATCTAATGGATGCTCGATTATGACGGACGCATGATCCGATAGAAAGAGAAGGATCATCATGAACTTATGTGTTAATTCAAAGATGGGGACCTTTTTTTTCATCAAAAGAATCATCGGATGAAGCTCACACAAGTGAACACATACATGAGTATGTTGAAAGTTGCATCAAAGAAGTTGGCCCCGAGAATGTGGTTCAAATTGTGACCGACAATGCTTCAAATAATATGGGAGCGGCCAAGTTGTTAAAGGAAAAAAGACCAACTATTTTTTGGACATCTTGTGCAACACATACTCTCAATCTTATGCTTGAAGGTATTAATTCTAATTGTGTTAAGTTTATAATTTAGTATTATTTATTAATTTTTAATATTATTTATTAACGTTTTATTTATTTTAAAAGGTATTTGTGGGCTACCTAGGTAAAAGAAAATTCCCAACCATGCAAAAACACTCATGGTGTTTATTTATGCTCATTATAAAACTTTGGCCATGATGAGACACTTTACCAAGAAAAGAGATATTGTGCGACCGGGGGTCACGAGACTTGCTTCCGTATTTCTTACTTTGCAAAGTTTGGCTGATAAAAAGGTCCAACTAAAACAAATGTTTACAAGTGATGAATGGGAATCATGTAGACTTAGCAACACCGTTAAAGGGAAATCCGCATATGACACGGTGGTAAATGCAACATTTTGGACCGGTGTAGCATTATGTTTAAAGGTTTTTGCCCCTTTGGTCAAAGTTCTTCGGATGGTTGATGTGGATCGAAAGCCATCAATGGGTTTTGTATATGGTGAGATTCAAAATGCGAAACAAGAAATTATTAATGCTTTAGACAACAATAAAAATCGTATGAGCCTATTATGGATATCATTTCCAAAAAGATGAAAGGTAGGATTGATACAACCCTACATTTGACGGCTTACCTTTTAAATCCATATTATCTTTATAAGAATCCGGAGATCCAAAATGATATTGATGTGACCGATGCGATTGTTGATTTTGTCGATACAATATTTCCGGGAGATCATTCTTTGCAAAACCATATCGTGATGGTTGAGTTGCCGGTTTACATGGGTAAACGAGAAAAATTTAGTCGAGAAATTGCAATTAAAGGATGTGAGGTGAACAACGACAAATTTGATCCGGGTAATATATTTTTAAATTGTATTTATTTTATAAAATTCCATAATAATAAATTTAACAATGTTTTTTTTCAACTTGTAGCGAATTGGTGGGTAGCTTATGGTGCCTCAACTCCACAATTGAGAAAGATTGTTACAAGGATACTTTCTTTAACAACTAGTTCTTTTGGGGTGTGAAAGAAATTGGAGCACTTTTGAAGGGGTTGGTAGTTTACTAAATTTTAATTATAAGTTTTAAGTAGTTTATTCAAAACTTGTATGTTTATCAAACTCTTTTTTTTGCTTATTTAAATTTATAGGTACATACAAAGAAAAGAAATAGATTAGAGACGTCTAAATTGAACAATCTTGTTTTTGTTCAATTTAATGCAAATTTGATGGAAAATAACAAGAAAAGGAAGACTAAGGATATGGAAGTACTTTTCGCAAAAGATGCAAGTGAGGCTCAAGATTGGATTGTCGAAAATGATGTATTGTTGGATGAAGTTGAGCCCGATGAAGGTATGGGTGACGAGGAGTTTTTACAAAATCGTAGAAGTTCTAGATTGAGAGAACTTGATGAGGAAGAATTTGTGTCCGAGGATGAGGAAGAAATAAATGAAGATGTTGAATATGAATCGGATGGAGTTAACATCAACGGACAAATCGGAGCTACATTGGAAGAGGAAGATTAAATGATTAATCTAAATATATAATATTAAAGAATGGTGTCTATTTTTGAAACAATTTAACATTTTGAAAATGTATCTTTTGTTGATATTTCACCTAATTTTGTAATGAATTTCAATCAACTAATATTTTAAATTATGATCTTTGACATGTATAATTTCCTTTAAAATAATTTTCACATGATTTACCGTATCCGAGTACTCCCCGAGTAATCCGAGTACTCGCTACTCCTCCCTCGGCCGAGCAGGTACCGAGTAGCGAGTTCTCCAACCTTGGTTTATTATGTATGATATGTGGTATTTTGGGTAACTCAATAAGTTTTGTGCTTACGATTTTCAGTTTATGTTTCAGATACTTTTGGTTTGAAAGGGAAGAGGTCGGGATGATTGTAGTGCACACACCACCACATTACGCATTTTTGTTATTACTCTGATGTTTCATGATGTATTTGACACAGTTTGTTCCATCTTGGTTTTATGATGATGTTTGGATTGCTGTTTTATTAATTTAAAAACGAAATTTTTGGTCTTAATTTTTGGCAAGTTACATATTGCTTACTTTTCTTTTTCCTTGGATCTTTTGATTTTTTTTCCTTCTACAACTTGATTGTGTTTCTTCAATTCGTTCATCGTCGTTGTTATTGTCGAGGTTTATAGGTTGAGATTGAGATAATGCAATTTGAAATGGTTGTGAAGGTTGTTGACGTTGAAAAGTTTGGGGTTGAAATTGCAGAGAACGTTGTTGTTGAAAGGCTTGGAATTGGGTTTGATTGAATTGTGGTGGTTGTTGTTGCTGTTAATAGTGTGAGTCATATGAAAGATTGGTGAATAGAGGTTGTTGCTGGATTGAAGATGTTATCAATTGCATGTAACTAAGATTTGTTAATCGATCATTTGGAGTGTTTAGAGTGGGTGGGGTATTTTGATTTGGATTAATAAAAATATATGAGGAAATAGTATTTTTTGTTGAATATGTGTGTTTGTATTGAAAGAGTATGTGTATGTGTGTGTTTGAAATGTAAAATGAATGTGTATATATAGAGAAATGTATTAGTAATTGAATGATTAATTATTATTATTATTATTATTATTATTATTATTATTAGTGTTATTATTATTATTATTATTATTTTCTTTTTTTATATATGGTAAACGGTCGAAAATGTCCCACCCATGCTCCCTCAACGGTCAAAAAGTCAAATGGCCAATCAAATCATCCGTCTCCATCCGTCTTTGCGTCCACGCCACAGTCAGAACACCGGCCCTGGGGGCGGTGTTCACACGTCTTGGGGAGCTCCACGTTAGCCTCATACGTGTCTTCCATTAACCACACCAGATAGCCTCATCCGATTATTTTGAGGCCCGGTGATTCCAGAATCCAAGGTTAGGTTAAGCATGGCCGGTCCTGATGATTAAATATCCTTAAAGGCCAAGGACGAATAAGAAGAAAATGACCCTTGTCGTTATTATAAGTTGTTATTCTTAAATAAAAATATAAAATAAAAAAAATTAAGTCCTGTGCCGCTGCCCACTTTGCCCCCCTCAACGCCCCTCATGAGGTTGGGTGTGGCTTTCCACCACTTGACCATTTTTATCCCTGTTAATTTCGAATGTGGGCGTTTTGGTGCCATAAGCTTTAGAGTTTACACAGAACATCTACATTAAAAAACCTGGTGCTTCTAAAATTAGAGTCTTGAAATTTTGCCCATCAATTGGGTTATTGTTTAGTTAGCTTTAGTTTAGCTCTCAACCAGTAGATAAATGTTTAAATGCACTTTGCTTATTTTTTTGTTTCCGTCTAACTCTCTAATCGTTTATCCGAGGTTTTCGTTGGTTTATATTTATTTTACTTTGTCGTTCAGAAAAAAAAAGCTGGTTTATTAGGAGACTAGTCCTAGACTCTAGCAATAGGGCTCTACGAAGGTTAAAAATAATTTGATATATGGAGGTCTCCTAGTCCTAGACACATGCAAATTTTTTAACCAACGAGAAGTAGACAAATTCCATAGTGGTAAAAATTCTAATCACTACATTACTTTTTGTTTGAACAATAACTTTTTCCATATTACGTGAAGAATAAACGACATTAATATATATCCAGAAAACAGTTGGTTTAAAAAAGAAAGAAGATGACTGAAGAAACATGAACATGATAACAATGAAGAAGAAAACCATGGTTTATACGTGAAGATGTCCGAAATCAGATGAGCACAGATGCTTCGTTAATTATTAGGTTTTAATAAAAGGACATAACGTTCAAGGGTATTTTTGTAAAAATCCAGTAATTGTACGATTTTTCTAACTTTCTTTGATATTCTTTTCTTCCCTGTCGAACAGCATGCAAAAGTTCCGGGCAACTTAACAAAGTTTGAGAGCACCTTCAAAATTTCCAAAAAAACACAAACACAATTACAAGAGATTCGAAACTTTATAATCGCTTTAATTGCTTTTGCTATTTATTAATCTCTTGTAGATGTTATCCTTGCAAATACTTTCAATCTACAAGATCTTCAATCTTCAATGATCTTCAATCTTCAATGGCCGATCAATCCATGCATGTCACCGGCAACCCAGCTCCCTCTGCCACCGGCCACAGAAATCCCGCCACCGTATACCCTTATGATTCCCCGGCTATAAATGCTCCACAAATTCAAGCCCCACCCGCGTCCAAACTACGCATACACAAATTCTTCATCTTTCTCGGCGTTTCCATCTTCATCACCGGCCTCTTAAGCTTGATAACTTGGCGGATTTGGCTCTCTTTCATCGGCTACCCTCAGTTCCAAGTCGAAACACTAACCCTTTCCAACTTCAGTGTTTAAGACGAATTTCTTTCCGGCAATTGGGACGCTCAGTTCATCGTTCGGAACCCTAATCCAAAAATTAGTGTTTACTGCGATCACATCCGAGTTGCTATTATCTACCACTTCTGCTCAATTTCAGAGACAACTGTGCCACCTTTCTTGCAGGAAACGAAGAATGAGACTGCAATTAGAGCAAGATTTACTTTTTCTGGGAAGAAGGTGCGATATTATTATGATGACATCGGTGGTGGGTTTATAAAAATCGATCTGTGGATGATCGTTAGGGTTAAGCCTAGTGTTTATGGAGCTTCACGGACGAGGTTGAGGGTTTATTGCCATGATTTAACAATTCTGGTTTCTTCAAAGACTAATGGTGGAGCTCTGGTTGATAGTCCGAAGAAATGTTGGGTGGACAGCGCCGGGGCGTTTGTGAAAATCAAGCCACCAAAACTTTATCATTGCTCGTTTAGACTATTTTAGATTATAGTTAGGTTATCTGAATGTGGTTTAACTAATTGTTCCATTATATAATAGATTAATAATATGTTCCTTTAAGAACAGTAATTTTTACTCCCTTTAGAATTTGGTGACATATGTTTGCCCTTTTTTTTTTTTTTTTTTTTTTTTACAATTTTATTCCTTATGTCCATTTATTTTACACTTTTGTCAAATTAATTGGTCCTTTTTTTTACCCATTTTGACACTATTGGTTATTTTTTAGAAATCTTTTAATATTTAATGTTTGGCCACAAAATTTTAAGGAATTGACAACTTTAGTCCCATTTTTAAAAACTTGCTAATTCCAACTCGTTATAGTAAACTTGTCTTTTTTTTTTTTATCAACTTTCCTCCTTCCTTTTTACCCATTTTGACACTTTTGGTCATTAGAATAATTTTTTTTTCATTTTTTAGAAACCTTTTAATATTCAAAGTTTGGCCACAAAACTTTAAGAAATTGACGAATTTGGTCCATTTTCTAAAAACTTGGTAATTCCAACCCCTTTAATTCTTTAGCAATTTTGACAGTTTTGGTCATTTGAATCAAAATTTTTACATTTTTTAAGAACCTTTTAATATTCAAATTTTGTCTACAAAACTTTAAGGAATTGACAACTTTGTTTCCTTTTCTAAATACTTGTTAATTTAAACACATTTAATTCTTTAGTCATTTTGATACTTTTGGTCCTTACAGTCTAAATTTTTATACTTTTTCATAAAAACACAAAAAACGGCCCGGGGCAAAACTCCGGGTTTTTCCGCTAGTTGATTTTAAAGTTATTAATTGATAGAATTAGTGATACAAAGTATTTTCTTGCAAACACATTTTTTGATCTATGCGGATTTTCAAATTTTGATGCCATAAATGATTTGCTTTTTGGCGTGACTTTCTCATGAGGCTATTTATAGATTTGTTGTTGATTCGGAGATCAACCTCTCCAGAAGTATACAAGACGGATGTGATTCCTGGGATTAGCTTCAAAGTTTGCTGCCCTTAGGAGTATTAATTAACTATTTGTTAAACATAAAAGTTCTTCTATATATATTTATACTGTATTCCTTAATTGTAATTGTTATACTTCAAATATACAACAACATTCTACTCATGTATTTGTTGAAGGCTTAACTCACTCAACACACAACAAATAATATTTTCTCATACCTAATAACGGACGTTAATTAGTTCTAAGTATTTAAATATTTCTAAACGTAAAAAATGTTATTCTTATATATCTATATTTAATTCCTGAATTATCTTATTTTACTTAATAAACACCAACATACTTACATACTAGTGATACAACTGATGTATATATTTAAGAAATCACTCCAATTAATTTAATAGTTTTTGGTTTTCATCAATTGAAGGTAACGTGGAGGTTTTTTAGAGTGCCATTGTTTAGTCTCGCAGAAATCCTTAAATAATAAATTATGGAACAAGTATAAAGTATGAAACGATTAGCTGTACAAAATTTATAAACACAATAACACCATCAAGTATAAATTAAATTAATATAAAATATCATAAACCAAATCAAACAGATTACTAAAAAACAACGTTAATTTCATCCCTTTACCATGTTAATTAGTTCGTAAATGTATTACTTTGCTTTGCCTTTCGGATCCATAATGTGCGGTATGACCAATTTTTGGCAGCTTGACACACCAAATGAATATATAAAAACAAAAACTAGCACCAAGCTAGAAAAGAGGATCAATTACAAATTGTTTAGATGGTTTTTTAACCGATTAACCCAACTAACATGGCATAATCTATTTCTATTAGAAAACCAAAAAAAAAAAAAAAAAAAAAAAAAAAAAAAAAACTCTCCAATAAATAAAAATACTATTTTTTTTAATCTTTCTCTAACAAAAGTTTTATTCTTTCTAAACTTCCATAAGTACTAAACTGTAACACACACCACCGCATCAATAAGGGTTATTTTCTTATCATTGCATCGAAACTTATCAATGAACATGAACAAATCTTTCACCGAATTACACCCAACCAAGTTCACTTCTAACCATTTGAAAACTACATTCCAAGTTCTAGCAATCTAGGCACCACTTAACATCTAAAGAATAAATGATCAAGTTGTTTTGTATCCAAAGAACAAATCAGACATAAGATATATAGAATATCTAAACCTCGTAAACTAAGATTGAAGGTACACTTAACATCTAAAGAATAAATGATCAACTTGTTCTGTATCCAAAGAACAAATCAGACATAAGATATATAGAATATCTAAACCTCGTAAACTAAGATTGAAGGTAGTAGGGAGTTTATCCGGAAAGCGTTAACCATATTTGCTAATCATCTCCTACTGGCAATGTGGTCATTCTCCCCAAAGAACGTGGGAGCTCCACAAGCACGAAACTTACGGAAGGAAAGAGAGCGAGCTCCAACAATGGCCATATTCTCAATACGGAATGCGCCCAGACGCTCATCCAAAATCTCCATAATCCCTTCTTTGACCGTACCGAAAATCATAGGAGTCTGGTCTAAAATATCACAGGTAATATCCGATAAGATGAACTCCTCCACTTATCGATCAGCTCAGTACCTGCACCTGAACCGAAACCAAAACCTGAACCCCCTTCCTGAGTGCTAGTCACCATTCTGAAAAATAACAACTATGCAAATTATCAGAACATAATCATGAATCCTCATCCCACAGGCTTCCTAGATTCTCTAAGACTCTCCTCAATTCGATTATGGATCCTGTGATTTTAGTAGTACGAGCTCAATACTACCTTCCATACATATCTATATTTTCCTCAAGAATCATCCCAAATCCCCTAAGTCACCTTCTCAAATTGATACTCCAAGTACTCGCTAAAACAACGCAACTAAACCCGCGAAAGCACTTCCCAGGCTTTCCTAGGTTTCCGACCTCACCCTGCCATCAGTTGCTGATGAACTCCCCATAATGTCAGCTAACCACTTGATGAATATCATCACATGATACAAAGATCGGATAATCCTTCGAGTAAAAGGCTCATCCCTACAATGGTTAGATTCAGACAAGAGCTGCACAATAGGGTCAAGTCCATTACTCTAAGATTATTCAACCCTTGCCACATGCGACTTAACATATTCACTTAATAGTTAACTCACATCACTTAAGAGTTCTACAAAGCACAAAGCAAGCAGCATTCGTGCAGTAACACTCCAATCCATAGAATAACCAAAAAAAACCTTCAAGCTCACATACTACATCTCATACTAGGAACTTCCACTCTCACTGTCGTTTGCCTTATACATGCAATTTATACAAAATACGTGATCAAACAGACTGTCGAATAAAAGACTCTACCCTAGGACCACAACCAAACAAGGAACATGAAATAAGGCCAAATCAATCATTCTAGGGCTATATAATCCTAATCATATACAATTTTTAAAGCATACACTTAGCAATTACTGATACCAATGCTTCCTAGGCTACAAGGCATCACATATCAGGCGAATCTATCATGCAATTCCTGAAAGTATCCCTAGCTTTATCCCAACATGCAATCCTCATAACATGTAGGCTATGTTTGGCGTACTAGCTGAAAAGCTGGTTGTTAGCTGAAAAGCTAGCTGATAGCTGAAAAGCTAGCTGTTAAATAAAAAGCTAGCTGATAGCTGAAAAGCTAGCTGATAAAAAATAACGTTTGTCAAAAGTAGCTGAAAAGGTAGCTGAAATATATAAAATTACATAAAAGGACATGTAAGAATATTTGTTTCTATAATTAATTAAGGGGTGTATTTGGAAAATTTTAAAAAAGCTCTTAAAAAGCTAGTCTAAGTAGCTTTTCAAAAAGCTAGCTTATAAGTTAGCTTATAAGCTACTTTTTGGCTTACCAAACACGACAACATAAAAAAGCTCAAAAAATAAGCTAGCTCATCAGCTAGTTGTGACGCGCCAAACATAGCCGTAATCATAACAAACATGTATGGGTATTCTGGGAATCACTTACTTAAGCTCGGCCGATTGCGCGCATCACACCCCCTTTGTCTTTATAAAATCCTTTTAGAAATTTATTCCCTTTTTCAAAATCTTTTTAGAAAATCTTTTTCTTTCAAAAGATTATCAATTCCTTAGTTTGAGTTCAGACATACCCGAGAGTGTGCATGAATCCCTCAAACCAAGGCTCTGATACCAACTTGTAACGTCCCAAAAATCATGAGGTAAAAATTTCATTTTTAATACAATCAAAACACCAGGTATCTTATTTTCAAACATTTAAAAGTATTTCATAATAAAACAATCATCAGGGTACAATCCTAAATTCGTCACAATGCAAAAATATGGGTGGATGCGCTGCGATCATGCTGGACCTTTCCCTTTCAAACCAGAAGTACCTGAAACCATAACCATAAAAATTGTAAGCACAATGCTTAGTGAGTTCCCCAAAATACTGCATACCATACATACCATTAGGCCTTGCCCACACATTAGGCCCAACCCGCATATTAGGCCCAACCCACCATAATGGGCCTAGCCCTACCAAACCAATGGGCCCATCCCAATCATACAAATGCAATAATGACAAAGACAGATAGCACCTACATAACATACAATAGGCCTAGTCCTTCCTGATCCATGGGTCTAGCACAACATACAAATGGGCCTAGTCTATCATATAATGGGCGTAGCCCAACATACCTATAGGCCTAGTCCAACATACCATGCAAGAGTCACAAAGAAATCTAACATATCGGAACATAGTGGGCCGGCATTGGTGCCTTCGACCCATGAGTACAGTGAGGAGACTCACTTTAATCCGCTAATAATCAAATAACTGCACGGGTCGTTGAACGGGATAACCTCGCACTAATTGGCACTAAATACAACCTTAATTAATAATTAACCCGATAACCCAAAATCTGAGGCCCACTCCAAAGTCCAACTTCCTAAAATGGTAAAAGACCATTTTACCCTTTTCTTACTTGGCCCAAAACCGAGATCCAGTCCATTTACACAAAAACC